TTGTAAACGAGAGATTTACTTCTACACAAATCCAATTTCGACATTTTGTGTGGTAATTCCAGTTTGATGTACATATATTTTATAACTGCATTGATTGTAATTTTGCATACCTCATTGATCTTGATGTTAATTTATATGAGATTGAAATCTGTTATTAAAAGGTTAATCACAATCCATGATAATTAATTATTCTCTGTGTATTCGTTGAATACATTCCGTATTTAATAACATTGAAATATCAATATGGAGAGAAAGGATTTACAGAATTGTTTGCTTACTCCGTGATGAAGACTCATAGATCGGTAGAGCTTGTGCTGTGGAAATACGATAGCTCATTTTCCTCCATATTATTTCTCCAAAAGATGTAAGTACCTCGAAACCCGTTCCTGTGTTCAGAAATTGATTTGTCTCTTACGTCCGTCCCTAGGTCTTCTTGTATATATTTTTCCTGTGGGAACGAATGCGTCATCTTATGAATATTTTCTTGCCTTCTTTCTTTATTTTCCTCCTATTTAAATGGTATTCTTTATTTATTCAGCTGGGTTTATTATTTACAGGCTTTTTTGTTATTTATTCGTTTTGAAATGTTCCTCGTATCTGCGATAGGCGCCTAAGAAACCCCACGTGTTAGTTCACTTGTTCTTTTGTCGTCCATTCTCCAAACATGTTTCGTTTAAAAACCATTAACTCTGCATGAAACTTTGTGTCGCCTCAGTAAGATATATCGTTTCATTTTTACGTTGTTATATTTGTAAATTTTTTAAAAATCTTTTTCTGGATCTTGATATTTTTAAGCCCAGGGAATTTAAAATTTTAAACTCATGTCTGTTCAGTAATCTGACCATTTATGGATATTTCACCTGTTCTTCTTGATGTTAATAACATTTTCAGTATTATTAAAAGTGTATAGGATGATTTTATCGCCATTATTCTTCTTCTTGATGTTATTAACATTTTCAGTATTATTAAAACTGTATAGGATGATTTTATCGCCATTATTGTTATTATTGTTAATAGAGTCGTGTGACGAGTTGTCTTTTGTCGATTTCAACAAACTGGCGCACTTGGAGTCGGGAGAACTGAAGTTTATTCTCCAAATACAATAATACCGAAATGTAAAGCAGGCAGTGGCTTTAGTGTGGGACATCATTAGGTCAATCAATTATAATCAAACGGTTCATTTGTCAGTTGCACACATCTGTAGCATTGCGACCACACGTGTTAGTTTAGTGTTTCACTGTGTGTAGCATTGTGCCTGAAGTGCACACAGGAAACAGTCGGCAGGTAATCTAACTCAGTAAAAATATCTTCTAATGGTTCACTGCAATCAGATAAGTTAAATATTTTGTTCAGTATAGTGTTCATATACGTCTTATGACGGTATTTACAAGGAGTGGTACTAGCGTAATTATTTCTTTGAAGTCAATGGACCCTAAAATTTCAGTCTTCATACCAATCCAGAATCAAAAATGAATACTGTTTTACTATAGAAACAGGTAATTAAATGGAAATGTCATATTATGTAAATAATTCTGGACGAGCGAATTTTCTTTGTTTTATTTCTGATATATGCTTTAAAATTAAATTTGACACCCATATCAATTCATTTACTTTTCTTAAATATTGTCACTATATTAATTACTGAAATACGTAACTAGAACAGATGAGTACAGGATCAAGGAAATATTGGTTTGGGGCCGATCAAAAAATGGATTTATGTGACGTTTTGTTCTTTTATATTCCTGAGGAAGCGGACTTGAATTCATGTCTCTTAAAATGTTATAAACAATTCTCTTAATTTTATTCTGGTGATTTTTAACAAGTTATGTTGGTAAACTAATGTATTGCTGGAAGAATACTTAATTTAAGCCAATAAAGGAATTTTTAGAACAGTGTAACTGCAGATTTCTCTCTTCCCCCCCCCCCCCCAAAAATTTCTACGTTCAGAAATTAAATTTGTCTTAATAAAACGTTCTAGCCATTCTACTAAGTTGCTCGTTGCATCTGGTGGTGAATCGGTTTTGTCATAGAATGTTGGAGTGCCTGAACAACTTATTTTGTTTTGAAATAACCAATTGTGCTTTATTACACTCTGATGATAATATAATTTTTTAGCAGATTTTTGATTTTTTCATTCCCAGTCCCGAATTGCATCGTTTTGAGATGGGTCTAACTCTTCTGCATCTGCTGGGGGCACATTCGCCCCGCCTGGTGGGTCTCCACCGGCGTCGTTTTGTGGTGGGACGCCACCTCCACCTCCAGGTGGTAGAGTTCCCCCTGGAGGACTCGATGGTGTGCCCTGTCTTCTGAATATCAAGTTTATGATCCTTACCAGTACATCCAAAAATGAGTTGCACCTCTGTGATCCTGCAAAGCGAAGAGACATTTGATTTGCATATTTCAAATATTATATGGACGAGCTTCGGCTTCAAAAGGATTGCTATATCCTTTGAACACTGTTATTCTTGGCAAACGCTAAACAACTTTTAACAGTGTTTATGGTCGTGGGTTTTGTAACATAAAAACTAAAATTTTATCGGCATATGTTTTGTCATGAAGTTGGCTCTAAAAATATATATGCAGAATTATGTAAGCTGATATAAATTTTGAGCTGGCGTCGAATTATTGACTGGGGAAATAAAATCTTTGCCACCACACTTATGAAAGCTGCGAAATTATCCTGTTTTAGGTAACAATTGTTGAGTGTTAACATGTAGAACTCTGATTCACTTTTTGAAATCTTCTTAGATTGTTATTGGCTTTTGTGGACATTATGATTGCACTGTATTAGGAATAATTATTATATAGGAGAGATAACAAAATAATTACCGTATTAATAAACAAAATCTCTACAGGAACGTGAATACAAAATCGAAATAGGGCATAATTAGAAAGTAATCTGCTGACATAGTTATCCGTAAGGTGCTTGGATATGAATTTTACGAACGCGGTTAGATTTTTGATGGAGGAGAGGGTAAATAGGCCCTTATAAAAGCGAGCCATAATGATAAATCTGTGCTTTGAAGCTATAATGCCAATAATATAATGGCGTTTAAGCCTACCACCAGAAGGTTAAGAAACATGATCGTAAACTGTTGTAGATTTTGCAGAGTGTGAACGTCCCGATCACGTCAAACACGCTGAGAAGTGTTGTTACCATGGCAACGAATCACAACGCCTTCCACCTCATTTAGCTAGTATACGTACTTCTCTGTACAAACAAATACCATTTACCGTCTTTCCCTTCTTGACCGTCTAGACCGTCTTGATCGCCTTGTCCATCTGCCTGCTGTTGTCCAATACCAAGAAACTTCTTAGCCTTTTCGACCCATTCCTTTAGTTTCTGACCAACTTTCTCAAAGAAATCAGGGCTTCTTTTCTGCCTGGAGAACGTCGTCGTTTTGAATGGGTCGTCACTAACGGACTTTTGAATTTCCTTCCCGTGTAGGAACTTGAAACGCTTCCCAGCCACTGATACTCCTCCATCTGCACAATGCTTGCTGAGAACCAGGTCGGAGTCTGAAACATGACAAAAGAAACTCTGGATGCGCGGTGGAACTGATCGGATGAAATTGAGAATTTGTATCGAAAATCAGGATCAAGTTGTTAAACGCTAGTGCGAGGTTACTATAAAGATAACAAGTTTGATCCTTGGTTAATCTGACTGCAGGATTTAATATTTTACGTTTTTGTTTAGAAAATTGCTGGGATAGTATGTTAAAATAAACCACGACCGATTACATACGTAATCTCCACAATTTACTGTGCATGTTGAAAAAGTCTACCTATTCCTCGCCTATTCAAGAATCCTTCAGTGTGTTTCTATACTCTGTGCTAATGCACCCTAATTAGTCTCTTCCCTTCCAATCAGACTTTTGTTCAGAACCTCGCAGAAGGTAAAATGTCAGCGATCGATCTTTAACTGCGTGAAAAGGTCACAAACAATCAGTGAGCCTGACCTACGTAGAAACCCCAGCGTGTTTCTTCCTTGACGAAGCCAATCGTTCTATTGCCGTTTTCGTTGAAATTCATTTGCCAACTGTCCCATGGGAGAGGTGTTGTTAAATTTCCCTCCGCGAAACAGTTCCACGTGATGGTGTCGCTGTGGCCGTCACGCAGCCAGCAGACACCAGCGAGAGCCGTTTCCTTCCCAGTCTTGTTGAACAGGAATCCACCGCCGCTAATTTCTGTAACAGGTAGTACGTTCTTTAGGGCTGAAGGAGAACGGGTGTAGCCTACTTCGGGTTACAGGTCAGTGTTCTTATAAAGATGGCTGTCTTCCTCTGGAATGTTGCACCGTGTAATCTGGCAGAATTTTACTGACATTTTACAGTAGCTTGCTGTTTACATCATCGGGGCTGATGAAGGCAGTAAGCAGCTGTAAAACGTCGGTAAACTTCTACCAGATTACACAGCACGACAACGCAGAGAACGGACATCTTCATACTAGCCACCATAAGAGCCTGAGATCTTATTCAGCATTTTAACATTTTTTTTTTGTGGCGAGAGAATAAAATATAGGTAATTGTCTCAAAGTACAGCTAATCCTGTGTTCCTTACATGCACGCATAAACTATATCCTTACTGTTCTTAACGCTTCGTTGTGCTCTTTATTAATATTTATGCTTGAATGTGCGTAAGAATATTTGTACTGATTGCAGTCCACAGAATAACTTAAGGCATTAACATAATTGTTTCGGCGAGAAACACGCTTCCTAGCCGACAAATCACATTAAGATGGCTATTTTGAAAACGAGTAGAATGTGGTACGTAGAGAATTTTGAAATGTGCATACAGTCGCACGCACGCATCCATACAGCCCTACAAAATAACTTTCATGTCATATTGAAGTACATTTAAGTGACCACCTTAAGGACTTACCACTGTCGCCGTTGGATTCCCACGTCCAGGCTGTCCACCTCGCCCTTTGACCTGCGTCCCACACACTCGTTGTGCCTTGCGCCCATCCCAGGTCCCAGCCGAACTGCAGTCCCATTTCAGGACGTGACGCGTCCTTAAAATTTGGGAACTGGATGAGTACTGAACTGATGTAGGCATTGTGGTTCAGTGTCAGGTCCCACCAGAAGTCTGGAACCGTGGTTTGCTGCGTGTCGGAACACAACAAAGAACTTTAGTTACTTTGCTACAGAATGTTCTAGTTCAGTCAATAATTGCAGCAGTCTAGAAAGTACCTGTTTTACGGAACCCAAAAATTAATTTACTTACTCTCAAAACCCCGCCACTTTGTTCTGTCTTGGCGCAGTTGAGAACCACTTTTGATGACTGTCGTCTGCGATGTTGCGCCGTGTATTCTAGTAGAAGATTACCGACGTTTGCCAGTGCCGTTTAACCGGCAGTAAGAACCCCTGAAACGTCGGTAAACTTACACCAGACCACACGGGGCAACATATCCTTGACTAAATTTTACCGAAACATATGTAGCATTCTTAATTAGTGCGTTTAATATTGAATATATCTGCAGTTATCTGTCCTACCTTACACGCGCCTCGTTATCTCTACCAGGACTCGACATCTTGGCCGACAATTGTCATAGTTTATCTTAGTACTTACAGGTGATTGGTGGGGAAATGTATTGAAATAGTTAACGGCCAGTTCCACCTCATTATTTTCAGTTTTACCTTACTTTTCGATGCTATTGAACTCACATAGTTGATAGAGAGTCGTTAGAAACCAACGATCCACCGTACCATTCAACCCGAAACACGTCGTAGGCTGCCATATAAATTCACTTCCTAAAGCTACAGGTGTTATTTAATGCCTACTTACATTCTGGAACCCACTGGATGTGTATTTGGTGGATTTTGCGTGGTGCAGTGTAACCACTGCGAGGCACAGTGCCAGTAGGTGTCGCGGTGCCATTGTAACTGCCGGGCGGGCTGTTCGTCGGGACACTATGTGTGCCCGATCACCGGACATGGCACAAAGGAAGGGAAGTGCTAATGAGCGCCAGCCACATCACACTGCCAAGGGCAAACAACAATATTTTATGCTTGTGAGAATGAATGGACTTTTGGAGAAGCCGCTCTCTCGATAACATGCACTTTTTTAGTGTGGGCTTAAGTTCAGTTTATTTTATCTCATTGTGGTTTTATTTTTTTTTAAAAAAAACTGCGCTAAGTCAACGCGTGTAGGGGAATTATACGAAACTACTGAACGAATTTATGCGAAATTTTGTATTGAAGGTCTAACCTAAAAGTTTTCGATAAAATGTAAATTATATTAAGTTCTTTTTTTGTTCTTACTAAGATATTATAAATCTTTCGTACACTAAACTGAAATATATATATATATATATATATCCGTGGGAATTTATGTTATTTAATAAACCATTTGGAAGACATTCATGACGATTTTAAGATAACTTTATGATGAATGTTAGGGAGATAAATTACGAACATTGCAGGTGAATGGAACTGATTGTTTGATAAGTATTGCAGGGAAATATGATGATGTATTACTTATCTAGCTACTTTCTTTCTTTTCAGGTAAGCTGGCTTGCTACGAGTGGCTTGCTCTCATCTAGATGTGAGTAAAGAGAAAGTCTAAATTCTTTTAGAAAGTGCACGGGTGTAGATGAACGCGAAACTGAAAGTCAGAGGAAACAACTAATGAATAACTGAGAATTCAAGAGTAAAGAAAAGAGATTGAATGTGTAGAATTCTGTATGTTCAGTACAAAGGAAGAGGATGCAGAATCAGTTAAAAAAGGAGTAGAAAGGTGTATTGAATGGCTGGTGTGCTCTCGTCGGGGTAAAATTTGACATTCGCTGCCAAAGAACAGAATTTTTCCTATGATTCGTGAAGAGTATTTCTTCGAATTTATGTTACTTACTTTTGGGTTCTGCATGCTGAATTTTTAGGTTTTGATTTTTAAAGATTTTCATATTTTGAATTTATATCAAATGCTGGCAAAAGAATTTTAAAAAAATGAGGCCAGAAGGTACTTATAGATCGAAGATCGCGGAGGCATGCCTCAACGTACAACTTAATTACCAGTTTAATTATTCGTGTTTTTTCCGTCTAATCACAATTGTATATAAATAAAATTATACATAAGATATTAAAATATCATTTACATATTTGGTATAACTTTTTACTACATGTTTCGGTTACATTGAACCATCTTCAGGTGTAAAGTTAAAAGTTAAAAGTTATAATCTTATAAACTAAAACTTAATTACTGTTGTTGTGTAACTTCTGATGATGTTTACTGCCAAATTCATTGGAATGAGGGTATATTTTGAAGTGATAGTGGTTTAACATTGGCCTGTAACGTAAATAATTAAAATATTTTTAATTATTACTGAACTTGAAAGAACGAGTATAGAAGACAAAAATATAAAAATGGAAGGTAAAATGTAAATTTTACATTTTACCTTCCATTTTTATCTTATGTATAATTTTATTTATATACAATTGTGATTGGACGGAAAAAACACGAATAATTAATTTTTAATTCACAATATGACGCAATTATATCAACTTAATTACCAGTTTTAAAAGAGCCCACCAGCCACCGATCCCTATCCTGAAAGAGGTAAATCGATTGCATACCATCCGACATTAGTTTCGTGATATTGATATTAATGTTATCCTTTAATCTACACCTGTTTTATATACATTCCCGATCGCACAAGACATTTGTTTAATGTTTCATATTTAACAACTGTAATTTATTACTTTTATCACTAATTCCTTATCAATTTCTTTGTGTTTAATACGCTGATAACACGCGGTCCGACTTTTGTGTGTGAAATTTCAAAGAGACTCGCGTGGAGTGGCGAATTGGCGACCCCTAGCAGAGAAGAAAAATGAGTTTCATACTCTGATCGAACAATGCAGGCTAGTCGAGGAGGGTAAATAATGGAATTGTATTGTATACCCACGGCCTTGGTGCAACCTAATGTCGCAGAGGCGGTATCATTATCACACTCTACTATTGTATTCTGCAGTGTATCGGAGCGGTCACTGAACACAAGGAAACTTCGACAATAATCTCGGGACACGTGTATTATTCGGTATCCTTTGATCGAGAAGAGGGTACTGATAAATGGTGGATCTAGTAGGATGAAACCTTCCGGAGAAAATTCTATACTTGATAAGAAGTTACATAATTTGTACTGTTAGCAAAAATATAATTTCTGTAATCAAGTCAGGAGGATGAGATGAATGTGATATGTAGCACGCACATTGTGAAGACGATAAATGTATACGTTATTTCAGTCGGAAGATTTTGAGACAAGAGACCTCGTGAGTGATCTAGGCATAATGCGAGGATGATATTAAAATGAATCTGTAAGAAAGTGGCGGTACTTTCCTGATAAGCGGAGCTATTGCCACCGTTTCAAGAAGGACTCTACTGAATGGAAGTATAGTATCTTACAATTCATCCCGACAAATGTAACAATTTATGAATAGAGATGTCTTTCTGGTAGAACCGTGTCTTAGTGCAGTGGACACAATATCAGATGTAGGACTGTAGTGAATTTGACAAAGTTATGTGATTGAAAGCGACCATTCCAATAAATGTAGAATCTTATTTTTAACAAGACTAGATCGGCGTCAGCAGATTTGGTCAGACACGTTTTATATGTTCGATATTTTCAGTTTTATATAGTGTAGCGTGTCGTGGCTAATTCTACAGTTTTATTGCGGAATTTTCTTGGTGGCAGCTCGGTCAGTATAGCTGGAACCTTGGAATTAGTTTAAGCGAGAATACTAACCATCGGTTACCACAACGAAAATACATTCTCTTTATATTGTGAGGTAAACAAACGTTCTGTAACATCTAATATCTGTATGCACTGCGATACATTTTGCATGTAATTTCACTTGTGCTTCATAATTTTTGTTCAAGCGTCTGTAAATTCAGGAAATTTCTAGTTATGTCATTTTATGTTCTATATAAACATTAGTTATTCATAATAACTTCTATCCTACATTAACCGTACTCCGACATGTTTCTGTGCCCTGCTGATGGAATATTTAACGTGGAATGAAATTTAAAAACAAAAACCAGGAACTCATTATTACAGCGTCCAATGATATTTCGAGGATCCATACACTGGTACATGACGCAGCAGCTGTGTGTGGTTCCGGTCTCACATAAAAGTAAATAAATAATGATGATATAAAACTGACAAGGTTGAAGATCACTAAATTCAGATAATTTTTTTAACGTGAAATCAACCAGTCGTGAATTACATTCTCGAAAATATTTGTATACAGTTTATTTTGCTAGAAAATTACCGTCAAGAATGACAGAAAAAGTAAAGTATTAGCACATTTTTATTGGAAAGTATAACAAAACAGAATATATTTATATGTAGTCATAAATTTATCGTAGGTTATACATTGCATTGTTTTGATAAGTTTCTAATACAGACGTAGGGCCTTCTCGATATTTCCTGTTCTGTCAACAAGCTGATTTCGATAAACAACTGAATCAGTAAACAAGAAAGAAAACAATGTTCACAAACGTTTGTTCATGCATTTCTGTGAAATTGTGGAAAGTATGTTCATTAGATCGCCGGTCACAATGACCGTGGGTTCGAATCCCACTCGAAGCAATTTGTGTGTTTTTATACTAACTAACTAACTAACTAGATGGCTTAGGGAACGCGAAGGTTCATCACCGAATTAACCAAAGCCCTCCACCGGTCCCTGTCCTGGGCCAACAAAATCCACTCTCCTTCATCTCCTATCTCCCATAGATCCTGTTTGATATTATCCTCCCATCTATGTCTAGGTCTCCCCAGCGGTCTCTTTCCTTCATCTTTTCCTACCAATACCTGGTGTATACTTCTTGTCCCATGCATGCGTGCTACATGACCCACCAATCTCATTCTTCTTGACTTAATCGCTCATCAATATGCAGTTTTCTCCATACCGCATCGTCTTCTCCCCTAGACCCACATATTCTCCTCAAACCCCTCCCTCAGAATCAGAGACCGTGTTTCACACCCATACAAAACAACAGGTAAAATTATTGTTTCTTATATTTTAACCTTTATTGTGTTTATACATTGGATATTATGATGCTTTGTTACACATACAAATATTATTCTCAGTAAGAGGGTATTGTTGCTGAGAGTCTCACATTATAACCTTTTGTCATTTTAAGAACATAAATTGTCTTCTTTGTTATTTCGTTAAATATTCACCGCATAAGTTGAGAAATGTTTGAAATAAAAGTTATAGAACTTAATTAGATATTATAATGTGTACAGATTTTATTTTGAATCAATCAGTACAATTTTAGATTTTGTTCGTTTCTGCTATTTTGATTTGCAAAATGCGACATAGTTTAAACTTAATTTGGAACTGTTTTTTTTTTTCGGTTTTTCGCAGGCCACATATGCATATGGATAGCTTTGTTTACGTTATATTGCAGTTATCTGTCCGGTCACATTTACAGAATTTCTCTTGTCACGTTTTAATGTGGTTTTTGCCAACGGATTCTATCTATAACTTCTGTCTTTGATGTTATGTACATATTTCAGTTCTGACGATTGTAATGTGACCTATGAATGTACCCGTGTTCTGTGGTGTGGACTTACAACGACAGTGGTCTATTTCCATAATTATATTGTGTACATTTTTACAGTCTGACAAAAAATAACTGAATGAAATTCATAGAAGTCTGCTTAATCGTTGCCACTTAAAGGGGAATAATGAATATAGAATTGATTGCAATTTATTCCTGACCCGAAGTGCTGAGAGCTACGCTTATATTACTTTTGGCGGGATTTTTTAATTACGCGCTCTTTGAAGATCATTTGTTTGCTCTGTAATGCTGATTATTGAGATTAAAATATATAAAACTCTAATTTTATTTCTTATTTGTACAGGTATGAAACCTCGAGGAGAATGAGATGGGCGGGGCATGTAGCACGTAGAGAGGATTTTTGTTGGAAAGGAAGAGCCCACGCAGAAAACCTTGGTGTAGATAGGAGGAAAT